CGACCTATTCAATTAATAGGTACAACCGAAATCTACAACTGTAAAAAATAAAATTTTCCTTGTATTATTATATTTTTATTAAATTTTAATGTTTTAAAATTTACATTTTACAGTTTTTTATAAATAAATAAATAAGTACTTATTATTTTATACTTTATACTTTCTTTTTGGTTTAATTTATTCTCCATATTCATTTTTTTTTTTTGTTTTTTAGGTTGAATTTGAAAAATACAATATTGTCTAAACGTATGCATCTCAAAAAATTATGTCATGGCTTAGGATTATAATGTCTATTTATGTAATATTGATTTATGTAAACTGCAGTATTACTAATTGTTTATTTTTATATAACTGCAGTTAATATTTGTTTAACATTAAGCCTTACTAAAGTGAAATACGGTACATACATGTTTACATACTAACTGTTAATAATTGCAATGGATATTAAGAGTGCCTATAATATATTAATATCCATAGATATTTTATTAAAAAACATAAAATACAATATTACCTATTAAATATAAAAATTCAAAGTTCAATAATAATACAATGATTTTCTTTTTTTATAACAAATCAAAAATTGTAGTAGATAACGACAATATTATAAAATATCATTATTATTATTATTATTATTATTATTACTAGAGCTCATACACTTGTGAATTTGCATACGTCATATTAATTTTCCTAAATCTTAATGAATTCTAAATAAAACGGATATTTGTTTGAAGGTTCCAAGATTTACATTCAATTAAATCTTACATGCATAGTAATTCTGTTTGATCCAAAACATTTACCAAGATCCATATTTTTAATTATTTTAAACATTGACAAACATAATATTATACTAAAACAATGGTTTGATGCACCTACTCAGATTTGTGAAACGATCGTTTTTATTTTTAATGATAGTTTTTTAATTAATAATGATAAAAAATGGATTAAATTTAAACTTTAAATTACTAAGATTCAAGATGTGTCAAGTTTTTAAGTTTGTTAGAAAGTATTAAATATTGTTTATTAGTTAATTATATTTATTTAATTTCCAACACAAATATTTGATTTGTTTTTAGATAAATCAAAAGAATGATTTATATTTGATTGTATCAATAGAATAATTTAAAGATATTTATATTATGTTTAAATTATATTTAAACTTTTAATATGCACATTTGAATATATTTTTTATTTATTTCTCAGGGCATCACATATCTTTAATACTTGATTATCATTTTGTTTTATAACAATAGAGATGAATATTTGGTATTGTAAGGTCATACATATACCGAAAATGATGGTTTTTCCCTTGTTAGGAAAACAGTTGTTTCAAAATCGTTGATCTCTTTTGTCTTATAACAATGAACTGCTAAAGAATGAGACTATGTTTTTCTGACACTACAATGTTAAAATTACACATTTCGTTTCCTTGACACTTATAAATTAAAAACAACTTTTTCGTTGACATTTTTTCACACACATTTTTAAATTGATACAAACTATGGTAGGTACCTACCTATACTATTTTATACTATTTAAGGTAAAAACAAACTGAAATTTAAAAACTATGGTGCAACGAAAATATACTTAAACTAAAATGTTGTTCTATAATATTTTTAGCATATATGAATAACGAACTATTTATAAATATTTTACTTGCTAAGAAAATCAAAATTGTGATGTTTCTCTTTATGTTGCTCTTCTATCTATGTATAGCTATTGTATAAGCTTAACGTTTTTATAATTAAATTCAGCGATACTAACTCAATATATTACTGGTTTACTGACATTGTCAGAAATTATTTTTAAATTTTATTTACAAAAATTGTGAACTTAAAGTTTCACTTCTTTCTTAAGAAATTAAATCTCAATTAAACGTTTTGTATATTTTTTTACCATCTCAACAAAATATCCTGCGAGTAAAATAATCCTTGGTTATCGAATATTTATTTTTTTACTATTACATTAGTTAAATATTTATTTTTAAAATTCTAACACATATTTTACATAATTAAAATTAGTTGCACAAATTACGTTTATTTATTATTCAATTAATAACTTATAAGTTACAACAAAGCATATTTTTTAGTTGCCTCGCATGATTGTCAAAGTACTAAATTGTTCAAGAGTATCTATGTATAAGTTTCCAATATTTGGATCTCAAGTTTAGTTAGTGTTGAAAAAGTTGCCAATCTTTGTTCACTTCAGGTCACAGTAAAAAGATAAATCTATTGGCAGGTATAGTAGGTATTGCAATAAAAAGCATCTCAGAAAAACCACTTAAAAAAATAGACAGTTATCATATATTTGTGTTGCTGTAACTAAGCCAAAATTGTCTTTATTTACATTTGTTGATTTATTGTATATTGTTATTATTTTAAAAATATTTGTTCACGGAACTTCAGTATTTTAAAATGTATATTTTCAATTTAAGAAAAACAAAACGATATAGTATAAAAATATTATTTATAGTATTAATAATATAATAACATTATATATTATGTTAGTATTATAGCGAAGTATTATATTAGGTACTCAAATATAGTACATTTGTATCTTCTCAAAAAACACAAAAATATATTTATTTGCCATGTACCTATGAAGGTACGTTTATATGATACAAATCATAAAGGCACAGTCTGGAAAATGTTTTGTATTCTATATGATTATATTTAATATTCGGAACTATTCAATATTGATTGACTTTTATGAATAATGGGATTAATCTGTGAAGTTTCTGTGTAATCCTATAATCATTCGAATGGTTGCCATCTTCGTTAACCGAATGGAATTGTCTGCGCTCACAGTGGGGATGAAAAATTTTAAATCATACCATCAAAAACTTTTACATAATAATACTATCGTAATACGCATATGCCATCATATTATTATTATTATTATTACCATATTTATATCTATGTTCAGTCTACGGTAAACGCTGACGATAACAATACCATTATTGAAAAGATTATTTGATATTGGATTTGTTATGTATTAGATACCTATATTGGTTTCGATCGTTGGATAATGATTATTAAGATTAAATAATATTTTTTTGAACTCAACCACACATATTTAGAATTATCATTTTTATTTTATATACTTTTCATTAGAAACGTTTACATAAAGACAGTTGTGATAAAATAATATTATAAGTCTAACAAATGTATAATTAACAATTTAAACATTAACTTTACATTTTTTATATATTATAGAATTACATTTTTTAATTTTTTTATATTATATTGATGCATTGCCCGTTTATATAACATGAACCTATTTACACTGTTCTACAGGAAATTGGTTTTTATACAAAATCTATAATAATACTAATATATAATATCGGTTTTTTGTTAATTACTTTGAATATTTTACTCCGACTTTAAAAACTATTACATCCATTGTTAATTATTATTGCTTGTTGTTAAATTATAAATTACTTAGGTATACATTTTGTTATTTTGTGTATCACACAATATTGAATATGTTATTATAGTTGTGCTAACCAACTCATGGTAATAAAAAACCTAAAACTGAACTTATCAGTCATTAAATAAAATAATATAAATATAAACTATTGTCTACTATAGTAATTATAGTATTTATGATATAATAAATGCAATTTTATTGGCAAAAAATAAATCAACTCGCCGTAATATTAATAATAAAAAATTATTTTAATAGAAATATAAAAAAAAATATATATCATAAAACAGGTGTAGTTAGTAATATAGGCTAACAGACGGTTTTCACCCAGAATTTCTTTTGTATACAATGATTTATCCATAACATGATAATATGAACAGTAGAGCAGTATCTACTTCCCCTTCTCCTTTTTCGATTAAATAAATGTTGTTTATCCACGTATTTTATGTTCATTTTTTCGTACACAATTACTATTCTTGTACTTCTTATTTTGTATTTATTTGAACAAGTTTTAAAATTACTTTAGGATTTAGTTTAAAAAAAAATCTTTTATTTTATTATTATGAAAAAACTTAAAAAAATTAACAATCATATCACGAGAATACCGTACAGTTATTTTACTGTCGATGTTTATTTCTAAGAAAATCTAATACACTTCTTAATTTTATCAACTTTCAAAGTTTATTATCCAACGTGTAGGCTATGAATATATTTATTTATGTCACAAAATCATAAAACAAGAATGTTCTTATTGTATAATATAGTAAAGCGCAACTTTATAAAACATCAAAAATGCTTATATTTTCAAATTAACCTTTTACAACAAGAAACTAATTAAAAAAAAGCATTATTTTACATTTGATTTTAAATACTTACAAGTCACTTATTGAATAATTTAATATTTAATGTCATACACAATGTACGATATATACGTATATCGAATCGGTTACATGTACAAAGTGATTGTATTATCGATAAACTGGCATTTTCTTGCTAAATATGTGTTTGTTTGTTTGTTTGTTTTTATTTTATTTTAAGTCAAGCGATGAATACATTATTGTTTATACAATAATATATTATTTTTATTTTTATTTTTATTTCTATGGTCACTTTCTGAAGCTATAAAAATACTCCAATTTTTAACATTGAGGGTGGTTTCTACAAGACAATTGAATTTAGTTATTTTACGATTTCAACACTTTTACTACATACGTCATCACCGATCGTCATGCTTGCATAAGTATTTATTTAGATCAATGGCGTTCATCCAGCGTGAGGGTATTATAGTCAAGGATCCGTACGCATCGAATAAAATAATGGTCAATACCCCTCCTTGAAATCCGATCACAATCATTCAAAAAAAATTTTAACATTTTAATATTACTATATTATGTCTGTGCATATTTAAAAAAAAAGCTGCAGGCTTACAGATCACACATATAGTTTTTTTTTCGATAAATACCAAATGACTGCGATTTGTGTACGCTGCAGTGGACTAGCTACAGCTTTGGAGACAAACACGGCTGAACGATGACGATAATAATAATGTAATTTATGCGCGTTCTGTGTGTTTTTAGGTAAATGGCCTCTGGGCGTAGCTTGGTGCAACGTGTATGTTACGTGCGATGTGCTGGCGTGCAGCTCTAGCATTATGCACATGTGTTGCATATCGCTGGGAAGATACCTAGGCATAAGACATCCACTCAGGACCAGACATCATTATTCCACCATGAAATTGGTGTGTTTCAAAATTGCGATCGTCTGGTTTTTGTCATTTTTGGTATCGTTTTCAGTCACACTTCTCGGTAAGTGCTTTAGTTTTTTCAATACCTCTTACTTCGTAAAAATTATTTAATATTATTTTAGTATTTTTTCTCCATATTTTTATCCGTATACATGAGAACGTTGCAATAAAATATATTTATTATCATTTTTTTTAATAATTCTTAAGTTAAACAACTATTAGTCTTTGTAGGTTGTTTTGATTGTAAAGTGCCTTTCAAAATGCCTCTTGTTTTAAATAATTATGTTTTAAACATGTTTATTGTGTATAAGTAGTAAGCATATGTTTTAACGCTTACTATATCGTTCTAAATATATTATTAAAATAAATTAAGTCAACGCTAGCTACATTACAAAATATTTATATTCCAGAATCCCACCAATTAAATCGAAAACTTTTTTATAATAAATTAAATATATTGCTCGTGCTATAATCTCAAGCTAAAACAAGGCGTAGTAATAATTATATTTTTTTTCTATAGGCTCAGTGGTACATAAACCTATGTTTTTTCACTAACGTATTATATTTTCACTGATAACATGCACTCTCTTTAAATTAAATATAAAAATTAAGTTTGATTATAAAAGGTTTTGTTCATTTATTTATACATATAAAATAACAATTTATCCTTGTTGATTTTAACTTAAAAGGTAAAAATAACAAAATTATATTGTAATATCATATGTAAGCCTTTTTACTGATTGGTTTACTTTTTTATTTAAAACAAACATTGTTAAAATTCTGTTTTCTCTGCATTTTAGAAATTTTTCTATTGAATTATTTTATTAAGTATTCTATAAATGCTAATTGATATGAAAAATTTTCTGATGAAATTATAAAGCTATTTTTTTATCTTTTAACCGATGTTAGGAATTTTATTAATATTAAATATTATAGAATATATAGACAAAAATAGCTGTGTACTTGTTTATGTTAAACATTTCAAATTTAATTTAAGAACCGAGAATTCCAAACACCTAATTATATATTCCATGTATATTTTTATATTTTAAACATTTTAAATGCTTATTTGACCAATTTCAGTGAAATTTTGTACACCTAATATGATTTAAATGATGAACTTAATAATTATACTGTAAATAGTACTGATAAATAGTAGTCAAATAACTTATGTTAATTGGTAAGAAAAAATACCAATTTTTCATAACATTCAAGTTAATTTTGGTTCTTGAATATAATTAATTATTGAATAATTCAATAATGTAAATAACTTTTAAATTTTTAATACCACATAATCAACTGAAATAATTATAAATTGAATTTAAGTAATGTCATCTATAACCTGGTGTTAAAATATTTTAATTACTAGTGAAAGAATTATTTTCAATTTTGAGTTAATTTAGACTTACTATTAGGTAAAATATGCATTCACTTACTCAATATTATGTACTTACTTAAGAACATTTTAACTGACTTGAGACTTGACTGTTTGGATGTTCATTCAATAGCGTCTCGTTTTTGTTTACACTATTACATAATTCAATTAATAGCTCGAGTATTCCAAGTATGATCTTTTAATATATACACATCAGTTATTTTCAGATCTCTTCCATCTATTTTATAATTACGTTAAACAAACTATGCATAATAAAATACAGTCTAGAGTATAACAAATTAATATGTAATATTTTATTCACCTTTCCTAAACATTATAAATACGTAGAGTATACACACACTCACTTGACTAAATTATAGTTTTAACAAATTATTTGCGTTTAACTTTAAAAGCTCTACTGATTTTTGTTTGATTAAGTTAAAGCTTATAAAATGACATAAATAATTTTATATTTTTATCAAAATCTTCTTAGTTATTTTTTTTAACGAAATTATATCCAACACGCTTAGGTATACAATAAAAATGTATTATTTAATTTAATTTTAAGGTAAAGCCTTAGTTTTTACAAAGTATATTTTTATATAACAATTTAATTTTAGGAAGAAAGCTTGTTATTATTATATGGTTTACGGAAATTGAGGTTTAAAATACAAAATATTTAAATAAATAGATAATAAATAGACCTATAGTATATTACAAACAATTTTACTTTTTTTTTAAATTGTATTTTATTTTTTATTTTAATAACCATTTGTTTCAATGGCTTATGTCGGTTTTAAAATGTATAACATACATTTTTTTTAAAATTTATATTACGGTTTAGTTTAAATTTTAAAACCTATTTTATGTGATTCTGAAAACATTGATAATCATAACTATTTTATTGAATATTTAATGAATTGCTTATTATCATTTAAAGAGTAAAAAACTAAATTATAATATTGTTATATTTATTTACCTTAAAAAAGAAAAAAAAATGATAAAAGTAACTAAACGTAAATAAAATATGATAAACTATCAATTTCATATTAAATATTATATTACATACATCATCGTATCGTTTTAATCATAACTTTGTAAAATTTTAATATCACTGTGCTAAATATTGCCAAAAGTAAAAGAATCAAAACAAATCATATTAATTTTAAATTAAGGTACACGAAAAAAAAAAAACGTACATATGTTTGTTCGATAATAATTACACAAACGGTAAAAATCGGTTAGAAATAAACGATCATCGAGTGGTCGGAAGGATTGTCGTCACGAGTATGACACACTGAGCACTATTATAGAAATAGCTATAAAAATATGTTATGAGTGTTATGTGGTTAATTAACTGGATAGACGATTAGACCTAACGAGTGGCATCGAGGTGTTACGTGAATAAAAACAAATAACGCTCGAATTTAATGGTTGGAGGTATATCACCGGGTCCCAGCCAGTTCTCGCGGGTTCATCCGTCTTATCAGGAAAAAAATATATATGACCCTACGAATTTTTTCAAGGCTCTCGCGTATAGGATGACGTACCGTACCGGTAAGACTTTCCTCGCCACAGCTCCGTATCGAGCCCACCACCGTAATAATATTTCCACGCCACGTACACTCGCCCACATAAATACAGCACACATTCGCGTAGTCCTTTTTAGCTCTCCTCTCCTTTTTGCTCATTCACTCATTCACTCGCCTTTTCTCGACGTGCATTACACTTATATAGTCCAACAGTAGGTAGGTATATAGCATAATATACCTACGCGTACACCAGGCGAGCTGGTTATAAAGACAACAAACGAGCACCTGTCTTTTTCTCACGGTCCGCCTTGAATAATAAATTATGAACGTGCGTCGACCTCTTACGGGGATGGCGGTGGTTGGGAGATGGACGTACTCTACGGGTATAATATATAGGGGTGGGTTAGTCAAATGTGTAGCGACAGCGGCGGACTCGATAACTGCACGGAAAAGCGTTCTTCTTCTCTGGTACACACAATCTGCGTAATCGTGCGATATTATAACACGTCGCGATGTCATAATAACATTATGGAGGACGACGATGTTTCCGTTCGTTCGATGTAATAACATATAGAACCAAACTGTTATAAAATTACGCCGTTCGTGTCGTTTTCACGTTTTTACAATTTACATTGCCGTTAAAAATGTCCAATATCTATTCTGTTTCCTCAAGCGTGTAACAAGCGCGTAAATTATTAACAACTGTAATACCATTATAACTATAGATAACTATGAGTACAACCTTTGATCACGGGTTTAACACCATCCACATCACCCATACCGTTCAATATAACCACCAGCAACCACTAGCAGCCGTTTATTGGATTTATGTCGTCATATTTTCTCGGTTCGTATGTGGTTGAAGTATGACAATGCTTTGTTGGCGGTGGAAGGAGAGAGAGGGAAATAAAATAAAATAATTTCATCACATCGAATCCGTCTCGCAGCCGTGCGTCCGTGTGAGACGTGAGTTAACAACAAGTTGTTGCTTTTAGGCCTCGAGGGGTGTTCGACTAGATGTGTTATTTTTTCTTCGGAAATAATGTATCAGCGTGAGCTAGAACGAGCAAGTGGAAATCTGTGACGAGTATGGATCCAGGATTGAAAAGAAAAAGGGGTGACCATCAATCGATTGGATACGAATATACGAACAGTGGTTTATATTGTTATACACTTTATTGAGTGAGTCACAATGCAAAAAATCAACAAGTTTAGCCAGAAGTTATACTTCATTGCATTCTGTTCTGAATATTTTTAAACTTTAAGCTATTATTATTTCTTGTGTTTAACATAAAAAAATATACAACACATTGTTCAAATATTTGAAAAATAGTTAATTGCTTTAATGGGAAATTATTATTAGATCATATTATTTATGATAATATTGACGAATTAATATTAATGAATGAGACTATTATTTTAATTAAATTAAGTCTTTTATACATAATATTCTTTGATGTTTTCAAAATTATGATAGTATTGTTTCCTCTACACCAACATAAAAAGTTCTTATATTAAAATAGCTCATCAAAATACGAAAACAATTCATTCGAGGAAATTGTAGAAACAAAACATTCAAGTGACCCAAATTCTGCCCCTTTTTACCATTCCTCGCTTTATATCCTTACCCGCATCGCAAATAACGTAAAAACTATTAGCACAAATCTTTCATCAAACATAAAAAATATTTGTTTAAAACAATAACAACAATAACATGAATATTAAACAAACTGCCGTTTCAAAATAATAAGTTCATTTTATTTTATTCAAAAGTTTATATAATTTTTTTTAGGGATTATACATATCCATTTTGCATTGAAACATTGTATTTTATTATTATAAGACTTATTTTAGGTGTCAGTATTTTAATTATTTTTTAGCTTCTCTTCAGAAACTATAAATTTATTATAATTTATTATTATAAGCATATTTAGCTAATTTTAAAATTGTTCTTATTTTTTTTTTTTTTTTAAATGCTTAAATGTACATTTGTACATCACTTTAGTATTATTTAAGCTACACATATTATTTATTAATTATATCGAACCCAAATATTCGATGATCCGCTTTATCTTTAGACGTGTTTTTTCATTATTTTTGAGATCTAAACAAAAAATTAACTACAGACATAATTTATAATTACACATTTGATAATTATTATTATTGATAATATAATTAAGCAATACATATTAAATAATGTTTAAATCTTTTCACTCAATGAGTAATACAATACTTCTAATAAAAACTGTAAAATCATTAAAATCAATCGACAAGTGCAACGTTTAAATATAACTTGTGACTATACCGTTGTCAAAATATTATTATTCAAACACTGAATATTGTGGTATATTTAAAGTTCGTATTTAAAAAAAAAAAGGATTAAAAGTTCTTGACTTACATACAAACGTAATTTGAATATTGTATTTTGTATTATATTTTACAGGTCTGTACAATCCTAAGAACATTATGCCGGATCCAGGGGTTTGTGTAATCAACAACCGAGCTTTTTTCGTTTTTGGTTCGCTGGTCGCGTTTTACATACCGATGATCATTATGGTAGTTACGTATGCCCTTACTGTTCAGGTGAGTTTTGTGAAGTTTATTAATTGGAGGTTTTTGGTTTGATAAAATATAATATTATATTTATAATATGTTTTTGTAAATATATTTCGTATTGAAAACGGTCGTCGTATATATGAAAGTTGCGTGAACTTTTTAAATTGCATGGTCAAATACTATACTAACAAAAACCATTTCGTTATTTTTTTTCTGTACGGAAATTATTAAAAAAACAAAATGATAAATGAATGTTTGAAGGAAGCCGGAGAGTTTCACTTTAATATATTTCATTACGTATCTCAAATTGTCCGTAATGTTGCTGAATAAATGTTATATTTGTATAAACTTGTTTGTATATGTATATAAAATTAGAAAAGTTTGTATTCATTAGACTTTTGTTTAAAATAAAATAGTTTTTGAATTTGAAAGATTTATTATATCAAAAAGTGTATATGTCAATCAATTGGAAAAATAGTTGTTAAGTGCACAATAAATGGTGATGGGCTGATCTGCAGATTACTTAGTCCAACTTTTTAATACACATTTATATTATTTATAGTAACTTCACGAAATCCATAAAATATTAAAATATAATATCATGCATAAGAAGTAATTAAATGCAAAAAGTCTGATAACATATTTTTACATTTAAGTAATTTAGTTAGTATTCAGTTTTTAAATAATAAATCATTCAAAAACAAAATAATTTAAATAATTAAAATGTTTATAATAAATTATTTGTTACTATTAAAATTGTGATGTACAATGTACATATTATGATAGTATATGCTTTACTTAAAATTAAAATAAATTTTAATATAAGTATGTTTACTTACGTTCGAACTCTAAATTCTTAGTTTGAAAAATAACAAATTATTCAATATTATATTTTTCTGATAATTTCTTAAATTTAGAAAAAAAGTTTTACATGAATTCGAATGTTAAAATATTATTGTTTTAAATTCGATTCGATGTATTTTTAAAATATTTTTCTTTATTTGTTATTATTATTATTTTTTTTTTTATTACACAATAATATCATTCAATACAATCGTAAAATGAAATAATGACAAAAACAGTTTTTATATAGTATACCTATAGTACAAGAACTTGTCATTTAAATTTAATCGTTACAATAGTTGTTTAAAACTTTCAATCCATAAAGCATTATTATTCATGATGATGTAATAAATTTAATTTAAATTAGTGAGTGTATACCAAAAGTTATCAAACAATATTTAAAAAAAAATAGTTATAAATATACAAACTGTTCAATAAATTGTTATACAATTTTGATATACTTCAAATTTCGGTCTATACACTTTTAGTGCCCATATCTATAAAGTGCACGGTACATTAGTCTATGTACCTTGTTCTTAGTTTTGAATGGCTAAAACACGCTTATTGTTGCGTTATTTGTTTAGTAAATAGGTATTCTACAAAATCATCAAAATAACACGAATAAAATATTATACTCGTATGTGATGGTATATATAGGTGATTGGCATTATTATTTAGGTACTGAAAATTACAAACAATACAAAATACATTAAATGAGATGGAGAAGTTAAATTATATATGGAATAATAAACAATAGAAACATAAACTCTAGGTAATAAAATGTAAAATACGGGTTGTTATTTAAAAATTATTTTTTGATATCAATTTAAATAGATTTTTCTTCTTATTTTTTAAACAATGATTAAATTATAAAATTATTATTGTAATTAAACAACTACACAGTTTAATATAAATGTATTTAACAATAGTTGATTATTTAGGTGATATCAGTGGGGAATCTATTTTTGACCACCTTCGTTATTAGGTTTTTCATATTTTTAGAGGAAAACGAAGACGGTTTTGCTAATAAGTAAGTTAGTCAATTGCTATTCAAATTTCTATAAAAGAAAATATTTATTGCCAGTAGGTTTTATTTTGGAATTTTGGAAATAGCAGCTAATTTACCGAGAAAAAGAACCATAAGAGGATTAGTGAATCGAGTAATTATTATTCTTTAAATATAATCATAAAAAATGCAATTATAGTTGAAAAATAAAGTTATAATTATACACGATTAACAATAAATATATTTTTATTATTCATACAAGCATTATATACAAATAACCCCAACTGAAACATAAGTATAGGTATATTAATTAGGTATAAAATAAAACACAATATTTAAAATGTTTTATTATTTGAGAATAATAAAAATATTAAAAAAAGAAAAAAAGAAAAGAAAACCGTTCTTGAATATTATTTATTATTTAAGACCGTTAATTTAATACATTTTGAGCATTCGTTGTTTAAACCTGCGTAGGAGGTACAGCATTCAATGTTGTCTAAATTATAAATTTATATATTTTAGAAGGCGCATGATCGTTAAGCCTTTCAAACCAAACAAGTGAAATATTCTAATTACTCATTAATCATACAAAACGCTTTTTAAAAATTTGTAATAGGAATAAAAACACTATATAGTATAATAATAAATGTATTTACAAAATAAAACGATAAAAGTCTATTTTTTCTATATAACTTGTATTGCCATGTGATTATTGATCACTGCAGGTATTCCTAATCAGCATAAATAAAGTATGCAATAATGTTTAAATACCCATATTAAATTTAAAATTTTAATAATACTCTCACAATTAACCACAGATATCTATAATGACAATTGTTTTCATTTCGTAATACAATCAATCAAACACAAAAATAAAAGAGCTCGAAAAGGTCGGGAATAAATTTAAAATTAACTGCAAAAGAAACAATAATAATACGTCTATTTAGTCTAACATGAACTAATTGGATATTTAACAATTGTATTTTTAGTGTTGGATTACGATAATTTGTTTCTATCCATATCAATTTGTGTACAACGTTATTAAACTATAATAATATCGATTTTTAAATATCAATATTGCAATATCGATTAAATATCACTATCGAGTATCGATAATAGATTTATTGTTGATTTTTTTTTTCGAATACTTAAAATATAATTTTTTTTCTTTAAATTTATAATTTTATATTATATCTACCTATTTCAAACACAAAAAGAAAAAAAAAAGATTAGAAATAAAATAATATCAATGACATAAAATAATGTTTTGCTAGTTTATTTTTTATTTACTATATAATTGATGATATATAGTTAAATCGTTTAATTTATTTTCATAAAAAATATAACTTGAAATATATTTATATCAAATAATTATGTGCCTACTTCACTTCAATGTATAGGTATTATAAATTATAATAGATCTAATTCTGTAGAAATGAAATATGATAATTTGTTTTTATTTCGTTCTGTATTACTAATGTTTTTATAATAATTAAAATGATAACATAGGATAATATATAAGGATAATATTAAAATATATAATATTATTCTATTATTTTTAATATTTTTTTTCTGAGTTACATATTAAAAATTAAAAAATATTCAAAGAGTATTATTCGATTTCGAGTATGACAATAACATCACTTTTTTGTATATATTGATTTATCGTTATTACCAAGTGTGTTCGTGAGTTGTAACTCGGATTTAATATGTACAAAACACGTATGAAATATAACATCAATATAGCACGTACTATAGTACCTAAAAAAGTGTTATATGAATAGAGCATGAGTATTGAGTATATTATGTATCTACTTATATCTGTATTTACGACTGTTCACAATTGAATGACTATAAGTAAACAAATCATTATTTAAAAATAAGTAAAGTGTTTTCTTTGTTATCATCTTAATGTGGGATATTTTATTAATTCTTTCAAAAAGAAGATATGCCTTTTACACTTTACATCTTTAAATATACTTAACCGTTTTCTACTGATTTCAAAACAGTAAATATTTTTTATTTTTTTTTTGTCTAAAAATAAACTTAAAATATATATATTTGTAATCATTAAATGTCAATATGAATCCAAAAATGTCTTAACCACTTGATAACAAGCATGTTGTTTGAGGAAATATATATATATATATTAAAAGAGATCAAATAGATAAAAACTTCATTAATTCTTACACATTTATCATGAATTATTTAAAAACCAATTTGAATACCTATACATTAAATAAGTATAATTGCTTTATAAAAATGTATTTAAATTTACACGTTATGTATCACCTGTTTTGTAAACAGACAAATACATCTTAAAAAATTTATAATTGAATTTCATCTTTGCTTTTTTAATTTAAATACGGTTCTGTTATTATTTTTTCATCTCAGGCTTCATTTAGATTAAACACTTAAACGTTATTTTAAAAACAAAATATTCTGATCCAAGAATTTAAAATTGCAGAAGTTGTAATATGTCTTTGAATATAGACATTATCACTATTATTATTGTATTCAATTGTATTCAAGAGTTTTTGAAATATAATAGAAACCACTTATTAGGAATACAGATAATACACACAATGCAATTGAAATATTGAAATAAAATATCTACTTAACTATTATAGTACTAAATTATCTTATCTTATACAACATTAACATAACTGTATCCGATGTATTGATACTGAATTATACTTGTCCAATTTACTTCGTTTATTTTTACTATTAATTATCATAAGTACAGTAACTTCTATGCTTTTTACTGGTATTGTTTAACTCAGCTACGGCGTGTTTACATAAAGGTGGTTAATGCCTCGTTTTTTTTTAAATTCTAAAAATATCCAAACGTTGAGATTTAAGTTTGAAATAGAAATAAGACTTGTTAAAGTCATATGATATGATTCTAAAAATTAGTTTACGTGATACCGAAGCTTGATTAAATGTTTCTCATTTCACATTGAATAGGATTTTAAAAATCGTTTGAAGATTGAACATCCAACATTGAAAAATAAAAGTAGTAGTCAGAAAAGACAGAAAAGAAAAAGTTCTAGATTGAGCTGATGAAAAAGGCTTTGATAAAAATTATTCTTATGAAAGCATGATCATTAAGTTACTCAACACAAAAAACAGACATCAATAGAATAGGTATACATATTTTACTAACATATATTTTTTTTTCATAGTAGACATATTTTTTTATAATTTTCATTTTTTTTCCATAGTAAACAAAATCAATCGCTTACTAGGAACAATCAGTTAGTTGATACATTTCATTTTTTAGTACAAAAGTGTTCCTGATAAGCGGTTTCTTCTGTATTAACAAGTTTACAATTTAAATATATTTTAGATTCTTAATGGAGCAAGAGAGGTGTATTTGTTTTACGCTGAGAGATTAGTGCTATTTTTAAAATAAAATTCGTCTAACAACCTTTTTGATGTTAACAATTTGCTTCAAATTTTAACATATCTACAGTTTTCGTTAGTAAATCGTATTTTGTATATGTTTTAAAAAACAAAAGTTATAAATCCCTAGTACTTTTTGTTTAATGAATAAGAAAAATTATGAAAAATAGTGCCCTAAATTTTTCCTTAAATTTCATTGAATAAAAAATACTTAGTGCAAAATTAATAGCAAAATTTATCAAAAATAAGCGGTTATTTATACTTTGAATTATTAAGAATATAAAAAATGTTAATAATTTTTGCATTTATATTTAATTGTTGATTTTATCAATAAATTTGTAGGTAAAGACGTTTTCAACATAACTAAAATTATTTCATTGTTTTTTATTTTTTAAAGGTAAAAAAAATATGTATAATTTTGCCTTGATCATAAATAGTACATGATAATATATAATGTAATCATTCAATAACGTGTTGTAAAAAAAAAAAAAGTTGAACAATAAATAATTTATTAAAACCTATATAATACTTTTTTTTTCTATTCATTTCGTGCAGCAACTAGGTCGGCAAAATAATTTTTCGTTGGTTTTATTTTTTATTTTCATACTGATACTTTGTAATTTATGAAAACGTTCCCTCTATTCAGATGAATACACCTATATGTTTGATGGATGTTATAATATAATGTTTATTGGAACTAGAAATATGTGAGGTTTGTCGGCAAAGTGCTTCTGATTCAATGAATTGTTCGCGGTCGTGTCATATATTTATATTTTTCAAAGTTCACCACGGAGTTGATGACAATAAAAGACGTTAAAATCACTATATAATTCCTCTCTCCTTCATATATTCGTATCGAAAAAACTTAAGACTACGCCTAAATAATTTTGGTACTTGCTATTATACAATTTTAAAAATTTAAAGTTTTGTTGGAGCATATTTTAAACAAGAACATATTTTATTATTATTTACTGGTGAAAAATAAAATTGACTATTTTATGTGAATGTTTAGTTATCGAAAAAAATTTACTAATATTAAAATTTTACTCTGATCGAATACTCCGATAATACTTACTTATAAATTTCAACATATTTTCGTGTATAAAACCGAATAGCTAGAAATAATTAAATATCTGTTAGACATACAGTAATCTTATGGTCATAAAGATGGTTTTGAGTACCTTGATATGCCATTGAAAATTACAAGTGTTGCTATTTTTCGTTGGGTGGTACACACACTAATGATCAACTTCTATTTTGACAAAAACAATCTGAGCCTGTGCAATAGATGGACCCCAATTACGTGTTTTAATGGTCCAAAACAGAACTCTATTTTTCCGTCACCTCCACATTAAGTTATCATGATAAAACTAGGTTCACCCATTTGTACTCTTATTTCATGTTTACGCTGAAAAGTTTAGACCACTGAATTTCTTTTACAAATCAGTATAAAAAATATAACTTGGATTTTAAGCCCTCAATAACTAACTTAAGATATTTATAACTTTGTATGGCTTTCAGTTGAAAATGACAGGTTTTTATAAAAAATGGAACAAATGGAGTGCAAACAATCTCCTTTATATATTTTTCATGAAAACTCTGTACGGGGTCCCGGGGACACGGATATCCAGAGAAGCCGGTATATGAATTCTTGTCTGAATATTTTAAGAATTGTTTACAACGAAGTCGCTCACAGTTTTAACATTTCAATATTATTACGGCGAAAAAATAAAATAAAATTGGTTATGTTGTGACGTACTTTACACCGAAAGAAAAAATCAATTGTACTCAATAGAAACGGTTCGTATAGTGCCTTGAAAATAGAAGCTCATCGAATCGTATTTCAACGGCTATGTTGAGCAATTCACAAGACTTACAATTCGCTATAAGGATGCGTGGAACATGATGTTTTATGTTTTGCTTTCAGTTGCTGCGGAAAAAAGCCAGATTTCTGTTGGATGACAGTTTCGTAGACGGCCGGAGGAACGGGTCATCAGCGGAACCGCATCTGTTCAGACGTTTGGGCGGCAGGTTTTCGGCCAACAAAAACCAGAACAACGTTACCGGGTAAGTGCATGCTTGGGCGGAGTGCAATTTTCTACTTAAAACACGAAATAGCTTGTTTGTAGTTTTAGTTGTGCACTATGATTATTAATACGCACAGACATTTGAAACGGACAGCGAGACACGTATAATGTATATATTATGTTTTCATATAGGTACTGGTTGTATCTTAATAGGTGATTATTTTATCGCGAAACATATTTATAATTTCCGTTTTAAGTGCTTGTCTACTCTGCGTTTTCCGTAACGAATTCTTTTTATTTTTAATGATTTTTAGTCATTAGAAATTTATAATACGACAGTTTTGAAAACAAATTATTTTTATTTTACTTTAATAATATAAAAAGATAAACATTGTATCTACCACTATAATACATTCCTATTCGTTTTAATTTGTTTCAAAAACATCGATTTTTAGAGAAATTACTGATTTGTGATAAAAGTTTCACCCATTGTCAATGGCATATATATATATATATATATATATATAGGTCCTTGTCCGGGGTTACTACAGCACTAAACTTTCACTAAAATAGCCGAGCCCAACATCAGTTGATTGGTGGCCAGTCATATGTCTCCCGTCAGAATATCATCTCAGAGATTATGTTACAAAAGACCACCGTTTATCAGAGAATAAATTTCTCACCGTTATCGCGTTAAGCTGTTTTAATATTATTTTCAAAGACCATAAACCGCACTTAATTAGAAAAATAAAACCATTACCTACTATTTTGTTAAGGGGTTGCTGAGGTCTGGCTATTTTTCATTAATTTTTTTGTCTCAAATAACAAGGCAGTGCATTTAATACCACCGATTTATATAATCCACAAAACCGATGTTTTAATATTATACACAAGTGATTACAATAATATATATCGTGTCGCTAAGAAATTTAAATTTATATTATATTGTCCATCACGTTTGCAAGTGTATCATGAAGTGGAGAGTAGGTTAGGTAATATTTATGTACATTGTACACATCACTTTAATTGTTGTTTTATTAATCACGAGTTTTGTTTACAACACTTTTCCGTGTCTCGCATCTGTTTAAAATGGTTGAATGGTACTTAATCAATGATTTTTATATTTTTGTCATTATAGAAAGACGAGAACTTTTTATCTTTATTATTATTATTTTTATTTTATTATATAGCATTATTATTTTTATTGTATTATATAGCTTGTGTTTAATAAAAACACATATGAGAAAATATTTTCAATTATATATCATGTAAAACAATTAATGTACACATAAGTTATATATAGTACCTAATCAAAGATAGATCATATTTTTATAATACAACAACAAAAATGTAGAGATACCAAATGGTTCTTTCAACAATTAACAATAATTATACAAACAATTATTAACGTTTAAAAAATTATAATTGGATTTCATATCAGAAAATATTATTTGAAAAAAAATATAATTTTGAATTTTGAAACACAAGAATTTAATTTTTAATGACCAACATCATAACTAAGGATAGGATTCATATATAATAAAAAAATATATTTTAAATTCTATCAAACATTTGATAGTCTTTGTACAAAAAATAATCGTAAATAACACTTGAGTACCTTTTTTAAGTATTTTACTGTTTCGTCCTTTAATATGTTTTAAAAATGTAACAGAATACTACCACGTAAACAACATATTCCAGTATATGACAAAAGAGTAGAGTACAACAATATCAAACATAATTACGAAATATATTTGATATAACTTGATATGGTTATCAGACATGAACTAAAACTTATTTAGGTTGTAATTATAACTTTATAATATAACTCTTTGTGCTTTAGAAGTGACACGACGCGTTAGGTACAAGAAACTACGCGGTAGTTTTTAGATATATACAGGTGCATATGGTACTATCTAAAGGATTTTGGGTGTGGAGGGTACGTAATCCGAATGCCATAACCCATAAGATACCTAATAAGATCATCGCACGTACGCATGAGGAGGCGTGAACTATAAGAACATGATGGTGCGTATATCTTGATCTGCAGAAGGGATATTACCAAGAATAGTTGGCAAAGATGTATATAGGAGAACCTGAGATAGGACTTTAGCTAACATGATTTACAAGTACCTCAACAATAGTCAATATTATATAGGATTTGCTTATTTGGACTTAGAATTATTTTCAATTAAAAAAAAAAAAAAACACTAAGAAGAATACACGACCATTTATTTTATCTCGATTACTGTTCAGGCATACAGTCCCATACATGTTTGCTTAAATGTGGTCCTCTACATTACGATTAATTTTTAAATCACCTGTAAAAAACCATGAACAAAAGATCATAATTTAGCTCCTTCACTTTGAAATCGTTTACAAAAATTAAGTGAACTCACTTATTAAGACAAGACTTACTCGATATAACTGATCATGTCAGTAAATAAATAATTATTTTAAGACATAATATAAAACAATAACGACAGATATTTTTTAGATAAGTACTATTTTATAGTAGTTTCAAATAAATGTTCAACAAATTCTAAGTATGCAAAAATATGCAAATAAATAGTTTTATTCAATACAATGTGAGCCGAATCGTGAACATAATTGACAACCCATGCATTTGAACTATAAAGGAAAGTCAATATGCTAATGCATTGAAATCCTATCTTTAGTTATTACTGATGACTATCAACATATTAAAAGTTTAGATGACCAGAGTATAGTGTACAAATTAAAACGTTTATCAATTATTTCGATAAAATATTTTGATTTTAGAGCTAGCAATTAAAAACGTACTATGTTTAATTAAGGTTACATGTAAAAATATTTTTTGAGGTGCGACAGCAATAAATATTTTGTAAAACATAAATATTAAATGTGTGATTTAAATAATTGAGTATTTATAAAACTAATACTGTTTAAAATACAAGATTTTTTTTATCAAAATATTTGTTTCGAAATAATTTCAAATTAATATTTTGGAAAAAAATTAAAATTTTTTGAGGTAGTTAATATTTAACGTCAAAATAATTAACTAATTTATTTATTTGCACTTATCTTTCATTGACCATCTCATTAGTCACAATGGATGAAAAATATACACATGTTTTAAGATTTCGATTTAGTAACTGTTTTACAGTACTAGCTAAATTGGTCTCTTAACGAGCTACATGCAATTTATAATAAAAACTGAGTTCCAAGAAAAACTTTTTTGCGTCAGAAAAACTTACAGACTGTTAGATTTCACGATCAGTAGTTAATATAGGAGTAGTGGCAATAAAGGCCGATGTGGTTTTATTCATAGCGCTTTTAATAAATTTTTTTCACTAAGAAACCGCATTATATAACAATAGTATGCACTCGTTGTAGTTTTTATGAGTGACCTCTGTTTTTATATAATTATTATTAATATAAAAAATTATTACAATAGTTTATAGTATTTATAGTTATAAATAAATGCATATATATATAGACATATAGTCTTAGGCGTATTTTTATAAATTATATTATTTTTTCATAAACCAAATAAATTATTTATTAATCAACTATTAAGCGTTAATAATAAATTAAAACGATTTTTTTTTTCATAATAAATTCTCAGATTTGAATATCTGCATTAATAAACCAAACTTAGGAAATATACGAAACTATATTTTATATAGGTACTTTCAGGAAAGGACTGAAATATTCAATTGGCTTGATTAATTTTGGAAATAATCACTGTTTGACTGATGTGAAGTTTGTTTATGTTTTATCAAAACATTTAGTATAGACATATGTAAAATAATAATTACTATACTTAGGTAATGATTAAATTCATAATAAATACAGACACTGACATATACATAATACGATAATATTAAATTATGAAGTAATTAGTTGTGGAGTATTTATTCGCCTTCAGTAAACATAATAACATAGTGAATCAATTTCATTTTGTATTTTCTGAATTAGTGAGGGAATCACTATACTCATTAAACCTACCAATTTCAACTAGATTATTCATGGTTATTAAACACATTTTTTACATACATTGAAGTTATTATATTAGTCGTTACTCGTTTTAAATTACAATTTTTGAAATAAACATTATTTTTTATCATTATTTAAGTAGTTTTTTTTTAAATAACAGCATGCATTTAATTAATATTTTAAAGCTAAATATTTTGATATTTTAAAATTGAATCTTGAACAATCAGTTTATGAAGTTTAGGTACCTATTTAAAGTTTAGACCAATTAAGTGAAGTAGCATTGGCTTCGTTTGTTGGTTTGTTCAACCTAAGTTTAAATTTTATTGATACATTCATATTATACATACTTTTATTTTATTAATAATCAATCATAAAATGTTATTTTAATGTGTTATAATTATCACAATAATATTCTATCTAGGAATATTTGATCAGTATTTTTTTTGTAATGATTTAAATTTATACAAACAAAATATTACTAAAACGTTAATACTTTTCTATAACAAGCTTAAACCTAGAACAATATATATTTTTGGCATATTATAATAGAATGATATAAAGTGTGAAATTTCATACGATAAGTTGTATTGATTTATTTATAGCTAGTGAAGTTACATATTAACATGTATCTAGTTTTATTAGGAAAACATCAATAATTGTATAAATATAAATATTTTAATTTATTTTATAATTTCATGCTACAGTTCTATTATTTAAAAAAAAAGTATATTTTTTTTTATATGACCTTCAGCTGAGACAAAAAAAAAAGCTGGTGCAAGTAAATTTTTTTTTTTTTTTAAACAAAAAATAAATAAATAATTATTATTTTAAAATATGTTTTGCCAACACATAAACTATGGTTAAAATAACTATAGTACACTAACTGTTATGATTGTAGTATAAATTTACATTTCAGATATTTTTATTCGATTTACAACCGTTAGGTTAGTTCGACGGCAGTTAGTCAGTTTAATATTTTTTCAACCGTTCACACTGTTATTTGTTACGAAAGGATATACTTTGCAGCATGTAATAGTTTGCGTTGTCTTTTGCACACAATGA